GCTGTGATAGCTAACACATTTAACTGTCAAAATGACATAAATAACATAAATTCGAAAAGCAAAAAAAGTAAACATACAAGTATTGCAACTGAACTTACCTTTCATGCAACAAAAAATATCCATACAAGTTAACCTCATGGCGCAGCCATTTTGGATTTCGTTTCAAATCAGACAGATGTTTACGGATTTGCGGAAGAATACGAGGAACTAGTAGTTTGCCGGATACAATGTGCAATGACGCGAAAGAATATAGTTCTGTAGAACTTCCTACATTATTCCGTAATAAACAGTACTATTTCCTAATTTTTTCTTTATCTAATTAATTAATTAATAGGGAAATAGTTAAATAATGCCGAATTCATTTTTAATGAAATGTAAAATTTTGCATGTATGGGACGACCACCTTCCGTCCAATATTTCTGAGAATATAAACAAATTTTGGAATCTGAGAGTATCAGTAAATAAATATATAGAATATCGCCTCTCAAACGACCACTTCTGAAAGTGACCAATAGTTCTGAGATTATAAATAAATATTGATATTAAGCATTATTTCTATAAGACGACCATCTCTATATAAGACCAAAGTTTCTAGAATCTTGGATAGTCATCAGAGAGATGTATCTTTACTGCGAAATTATCGCACGACTGTAATTCAATATCAATAACAGATCGCGCGATTGAAAAACATTTTCTGTCCTGTAATTAGAGGAAAAAAATTTTCCTTATGAGGTATTTCTCCCGCTTTCCTAGCGTGCCTTCGTGGTGTAATAGTTCTGCACGCTGGGCCGGTATTTCAGAGGTCCGTGGTTCGATTCACGGCGAAGGCGGTTGCTAATTTTTCATCTCTACGGCTTCCCAAAAAAATCCTAATGTCTCTACAGTGGCGCCCGAATTAAAAAGGTGTTGGATGAGGTATATCCACACCCAGGATTTAGTGATTGAAAAAAAAAGTCCTTTAAAAAAAAGTCGGCCTTTAAAAAGAGAAATAATATAAGGTATTTCTCCCGCTTTCCTAGCGTGTCTTCGCCCCACCAGCGGCCGAGCGGTAAAGTCGCTGAACCCTGGTAGTGCGATCCGAGGTTCGAATCCCGCGCGAACGGGCTGGCTGCTGCATGGGTTTGTTTTCGTGGTTTTCCCCACGTGTAACGTGTATACGAGCCAGTTTCCCTTAGAAAGTCCTCCACGAAGACATCCCTACCCTTAGGCAGATAGCCCTAGTGTGCTTTGCCATAATTAAATACACCACCACCACACCTAGCGTGTCTTCGTGGTGTAATGGTTCTGCACACTGGGCCGGTATTCCAGAGTTCCGTCCTTCGATTCCCGGCGAAGGCAGTTGCTAATTTTTCATGTTTCCTGCTTCCAAAAAAATATCTAATGTCTCTATACACAAATTTAAAAAAAATTTCGTTTCCGTAATTAAATATATATATATATCTAATTTTACCTATATTTGTAGTAGGGTTTTGTAATCTGTAAGTAATTATACATGTAATTTAATATTTTTTTATAAAAAAAAAAATATATGTTATTTAGAATTTTGCAAATATTCTAGAAAATGCTAATCCATTGAAAAAAAATCTTTTCCATGACTAAATAAATTTTTAAAAACGTCAGAAAAAATAGCAGTTAAAATTAATAACAAAATAAGAAGAATAAATCATCAATCATATCAATATTTTTAATGTACAGCATTTAGAAACAACTTAGTAAAATACACATGAAAAATAAAATAATTTGCAAGTTTCAGATGTGCAATGTCAAAAAATTAAAACTGGTAAATTTGAGAACAAATATCCTCAAAATGTTTGACAACGAAAGTCCTCCGGACAATGCAAAATGAATGTCCTCAGGATGTGAAATTGGTGAACTCCTCAGGACATCTGAGAATCAACATCTTCAGGACATCCTGTCATATCCCGGGATATAGCGACTTAAATAAGACATCCTCAGGATGTTAAATTACGATCTCCTCAGGACATCTGAGAATCAACATCCTTAAGACATCCTAAGTATGTCCCGGGATATTGCGACTTAAATAGGACATCCCGAGGATGTTTTGTGCTATGGGGGCTGACAAGAAAGTATGTAGATAATGTGTGGATTTATTATAGCATAGGTAAAAACATGACACCAATTTTACAACAAATCTGAAATTTTGTTTTGTGAGTCTTTGTTAAACTAAATGCTATAATTTATTTAGGATGAAATAATTCTTTGGCATAATGTAATTCATATCATCTATGTTGCTACAATTCTGTTTCAATACAAGACCATCATATCAGTGTAAGATTTGATATGTGGAGACTTGGTTTCTAATCTTTGTGTAATACAATACGGAGAAGCTCGTGCTGTGAATTCATAAGTATAATTTATTATTCTATTAGATTGGAATGGACTCGGTGTTTTCATATAGTATGTTTCATATTCAAAGTGTTAGTTCGGTGTTTCATATTCAAAGATGTTGAAGTTCATACAATGTAATTAATTAATAGACTTATCACACAGACCTTTTTAATAGACGTATTCTTGAATTTTTGGCTCAGATATAAAGTTAATAATTAAAAACAGCATTAGAAAAGCAAAACTGATTAAAAGAACACTTCAGTTGTTTTTAAAATTGATATATTTAAACGCTTTTGTTCATATAAAAACAACAATAAACACATTTCTAAATAATAAGATTATTAAGAAAATTTGGAACATTTATAAAGGTTTGCAAGGACAAGATAATAAATTTTGTTATAAATCACATGGTTTTGAGTATGCTCCTGCCAGATTGGTAGAAGCCTGGTCATCCTGTTATGAACAAATCTTAACAGATAAAGATATAACATGTGAATATAGAATCTAAAGGAAAGGAAAGGTAAAGTTAGATTACGGCATTTGAATATGGCTAAACACATTGGTTATCAGCCTGAAGAAGAATGCCTTTATGAAGAACTTTATAGGGGAAACTGGTTCGTATTCACAAAACACATGCAAAAAAAAAAAAAAAAAAAAAAACTGCACAGCCAGCTTGTTCACCAGGATTTGTGCTGAGATTAAACTACCAGTATTGAGTTGTTTAAACCACTTGTAGGACAAATATAAAGAACATGCTTGTAATATCATGTAATCAAAAGTTAACTACATGTTATATGCCAGGATTGCTTTCTCAAGTAGTTAATACTTAATCTGCTTTTTTTTTTTTTTTTTTTTGAAATGTTTGGTCATCTTATTATTCATTGCAAGTATTTTCTATAATACATGCAGAATATTAATAGTTCTATAACAAGTGTCTTTTTTTTTTCATTTTTAAGTGCTTTGCTTGTTGATATTCTCAAAATTGCATCTGATGATTAATGCTATCATGTGTATAATAAATACAATAGATGCATATAATAGATCAATATATTTTTAGTATACATATAATGATTCATATTATCATTTTTATGGGAAAAAAAAAAGACGCTTTTGATTTGCACAGATTTTCTGGAAATCCCAAGTAAAACACATATGAAATCATTTGTTTACAATCAGTGAAAGTTAAAATCAGCAACCTGTCACAATACAATAAAACAGCAACACAATTTCCTACAACAGCCAGCAGTTTCTCCTTTGCATGAACAAGATTTTTTTTTTTTTTTTAAAATTTTTATTTGTCCTTGTTGAACAATGAAATGTCCTTCGATTTCATGCGATCAGGACGCTATAGAACTTATCCTTAAATAGAAAGTCCAAACTTGTACATTGGATTTCAAGTAAAATTCCGTGCATTACCAATTATTTTTAAAATTTTCTCTACTTCAGTAATACAGCGAGAATTTACGCCTCCTTGAACAAAATCAAACATTTCCGAAGAGCTAAGCAACTCCATTTTTGAATGTACGAAGTCAGTTCACAAATCAAAATACCGAGTTTTATCCGCCATACTAATGTGTGAAAGCGCCATCTATAGGTGAATTGAATCGCGGATTGTGCACTATGTCTAGTTAATATTTATATTAATGCAGTAAGAACATACTGTGATATGGAACGCGAGGATTAGTGGTAAAACATATAGGTAACAACATGATAGGAATCACCATAATCATTTGCAACAAGTCAGGTGCTTGTCGACTTGTAGTACAAGCATCTTGAATGATCTTGCAGGCCTTTTCTTCTGATAAATATTGTTTTCAGAAAATTTCGGTTCTGCATGGTGTCTTATTTTGCGAAATTCTTTTGGTTCGGATGCGAAATTCTTTTGGTTCGGTGCGAAATTCTTTTGGTTCTTTCTTTTGGTTCGGATGGCGTGGGTTTCTGTTCAATGTACAATAGCGGAGTTTTTCGACGTGAATAGATAAAAACAGATATTTAAACTTCAATAGAGATCAAAGAATATTTTTATTAGAGTGTAAATATCCACATAATCGTTCGTTATTTAAATAAAGGGGAATGCTTATTGAAAATAAATTACTTACTTAAAACAAGGCTAATTCCGAAAATTTCTTCTGCCATAATTGAAACCATGAATTTCATACGAATCTTACATATATTTCGTATTTCGATATTATACTAAAACGACAACGTTAAAAACTTACCTAAATAACGAACCACTCAGTTAAGTATTACATGATTTACTTCCAATTTGGCTTAGAACACAATGAATCGTCCTATCATTGTCTGTTGAAATGAATTATTTTTAATGTTGTATTTGAATCCTTGGAAATAAGGCTTCTATATAGGTCCAGAGGAGCCTTACTTGGGAAGGAAGTCATCTCGCTGGCGAGTTGTATTTCAGTTTCAATTTCGACAATACTACTGAAGGATCACCTGCCGTTATTTCCTGTTTAGGCACTATCGCCTCATCGATTGGAACATTCGTCGAACACCGACTCGACCGGTGTTGGCATTGCCCATGTTAATTCTCCCTGAAATTATAAGTTGACACGTCTCATTCGCATAGATAAATGTCAGATTTGGAGTTTGTAATTTAATTTCTGCACCATATTCTAATACCACTGATTAATTTCAATCAATAAAACACTTTATAAATCTTAACTGTTAACTGTTTGAAATGTTATAGAAATTTATTAAATTACACCACAAATTTTAAAAATTCTTCATTTAAGTATAATTTATTTTCCTTTATGAATATTCTTAAATATCGAACAAATGCAACTTCTCTGGATATACTTTCTTTTTATTAAACGAACGTAACGTCTTATAGAGTCTAAAATCATTTGTAATGGGTACTAGAAGGTGAGTTTGATTTCGTGAGAAAAAGACTGCCTAACGATAGTTTTTGTTTATGATATTATTATGCAGTCTAGCATTTTTGTGTGACATTTTTGGGTATTGCAGTGTAACGAAACTAAACTTTAAGTCGTTAATCTTGTAACTGTGTATGGTTGTTAAAACTGATATGGTACTTTGACAGCAGTGCTCATTGTTTTATTTTATTTTGTATATACCATACGTGATAATAATTATAATAAAATTCCCACAATATATGTTTGATTACCAGTGCATTGCTTCATTTGCATTCAGAAATCGATAAATATTGGTCATAAAACTACTTGATTTTTCACAATTTTTTTATTGTACTACTGTATATTATATCGAAATCGAAGAATAAATTTGACTCTGCTGAATGTCTAAATAATAAAATGAAAGGGTTATTAATGAATATTTGCTTTAATTATTGTCAAAGAGTAGTAACATTAATTTCCTTATTTTTGCTTAAATTACACTATCTGTCATTGTTGAGGTACATTTAGTTAAAATAATTTTCAGTTATATATTGGATGCTATCAGAGAATATGTAAGCTAACTAAACATTTGTAATATTTCAGATTTATGCTTACATTATGGTTTAGTTGGATGTTATTAGGAAAATCTGATAAAGTAAAAGAATGTTTAAATGTATCCGAATATTACACCTAAAAGAACTGATATTTAGACTTTGTCATTATTTTGAAGGCTCCATCTGTTATTGTTATATGAATTTCTTTTGTATTTCAATAGTATTTTTTTTGTTGCATTACTTTTTAATATTATAAAATTCATACGTAAACCCTAACGAAGAAATCTCTAACTTAAAGGTAATGTACAATATAAGTTATAAGTCTGCTAGTTCTACTAGATTGACACTTTTAAAGCTAAATTTCACAATGTAATCAGTGCCAGTTCCAAGCATATGTGACATAGGCAACCATCTAGGGTGCCAACTAAATCAAGGTGTATATTAATTAATCTAATTAAGTAGTATATTAATTAATCTAATTAATATATCTTAATTAGTACAGGCTGTGAACTGTACTGATCATTCAAAGCACTGAAAATGCTGCAATCGTGTTTTGTTAACCAAGAAATAGTTAATTACGGAGCTTGTGATGAGATGTGCAATATGCGTCAGGTTGGCATTTTCAGAGTTAAATTTAAAGAAATACAGCTTTTAATTAACAGAAAATCATTCAGATATTTAGTTAAAGAATTTGATCTTTTACCATCAAAAATGTAATTTATGTGGCTTATTATCATTTATTATAATTATTATTTTGGCATGACATCTTTTACTGAATCTAGTTATATATAAAAAAATTTTATTTTTTCTTTATTTTTTGGTAGTTTTCATTTTTTGACAGTATTTGTTTGTTTACATTTAACTGTAATCTATCTTCAAAATTAAGTTTTTATTTTTAAATATCTTTCTCTTTAAAATCTCTTTATTATTATTTATAACTTACTGCACCATTAGGCACTATACAGGAAGGGAAAATGCTATATGGAAGACTTCTTAAGGAAAACTGGCCCATATGTACTGTACACTTTTGAAAAACCATAAAAATATCCATATAACCAACCTGTTCATGAGGACTCAAACCCCAGACCAGCCAGGGTTCGTATGATCATTAAGAGTCCTTAGGTGTTTTTTTTTTAATCAATTTTTGGTCCTTAAAAGTACTTAATTTTGGCCAAAATCCACAGAAGGTCCTCAATTTTAATCATCTGATGTTTTTACAACTAGTGTGAATGAGCATTTTGAAGGAATATTTTTGGTGCTTCACTGATAAGTATGGTTATCTTTTGAATGGGTTCACGGTTTATAATTTGTTCGTATTTCTAACATAAATGGTGGGATACTCAAGTTTCTCAGGAGGAAGTGAATCATAAGCATTTCAGAATTATTTCATTTTTTCTACTAAAGAGCTCTTAAATAACTTTTCACTTTTGGGAATGTGAGTTCTTTTATTAAACGCTTCTAAATTTGATGACTTTTCAACATTTTGGCGATTTTAAGATTAGTTTCTATAGAAACTTTTTAATTCTGAGATCTGAGAATTTTTTGACGATTTTCTTTAAAACATCGTAACATTGATAAATTTCATTAAAATAATGGTAATATATTGATATTGTATATAAAAAATAGCATTAAATTAAAACATTTATTATGTTTTGCTGTCATAAAGTTCCATTTTGGCCATTATTATGCAATATTTTGAATCTGAAAAATAAACAAGGTATAATGGTATAAGGCATAATTTACAAAACAGTTCTTAGCAAAAGCAAAATAGGTATATAATTAATTAAAACTGTCCTTTTAATATTTTCATGATAAGAGTTTTTCCCGTGTAATTGTCTTAGAACATGCATCAGTTTTCCCTATAAAATTAATTTCATATTTTTGCCTCTCTTTTTTTTTTTTTTTTTTTCCAAAATATTTCTGGGTTTTCGCTGTTACAGAATTGGTAGGAATAATTTTTCTTTAGTATTTTAGACACTGCAGCTTGAAAAGTTTAGAAGGACTTGAAGGCAAGGCTTATATTGATGCTCAATTCTAGAAGATTCCAGAAAAATGAGACATAAGTGAAAAATGTCTCCATAGTATTAGCATGTAATGAATGTATTTTACAGGAAATTTGCGATGAATTTCTTACTTTTTGGAGAACATCTGGAAGAACAACAAAAACATAATATTTGAATGTTTTACTTCTGATACTAGAATATTTTTCTTAACATTTTTATCTCCCCTTTATTTTCTCATCTTTTCACTAGACACAAGCATGGAAAATATCAAAAATGTTTCTAATCTTATCGCATAGAAAGGCATTATAGAAAAGAATTTTTTTGATTAATAAAGAAATTGAAAACTGATCTAATACATTATACACATGGCTGGTGCTAGGTATTTTCGTACCTGATGCAATCTCTGTGGGTCCTAAATTCTTCTGCCTAGTGCCTTTCAAAGTATCTTTCTAAGACGTTAGATCCTTACTGTTCACTTTCTCATTCTCGGGTCAAGTTGGCTGCACCCCTCTTGCTCCCTTTATCCCTAAGGCTGATTGCGCCTCCTATGGTCATTCTCGCAATTGTATCCCTTCTATTCGTTCACACGCCTTTGTTCTTAAATAGGAAAAGAGTTTCTTGCTACATTTAGATGTTTACTTTCTGTGAAAAAAAGAAAAGAAGCTTTATAACTGGGGAAAAAAATTTTAAGAATAACTACATCTAGAATTGAAAAACGAAAAACTATCATATTAAAATTTTAGAACTTAAATCTAAACTATTATATGATGAATCCAGAAAAACAAAGAAAATGTTCGCATTCCCGTCCGAGGACATCAGTGATACCCTTTAATATTAATATTGCACTTTTTTTGTTTTTCATTATGATTAAAAGTATAATGCATTTGTTTTTGATAAACGTATTAGAATTATAGTGTAGAAGAGAGGTTTTCGGCAGGGTCGGTATTGACCCCCTGGTTGTCGATAAAATTTTAAAGGAGGTAAATAATGATCAAGGAATACAATCAATAGCCAAAGAGAGTCGATAGCCGAATTTGCATGGGCAGTTAATCGGCACAATAAAGATCCCATTAATTACGAAACTTTATTTGATAAAAGTGATATTTAATTAGCTATTCATATAATGCTATATCACAGGAAGACAAGACTTATTCAAAACACATGCGTATAAGTTGAATTTTGGAGTATAATTATAATAACTTTAAGTCTTGGAATAAAAATCATCCAAAAGAATTATCACAAAATAAAAGCTTTTATCTAGCCCAACACCATTGATTTTCCCATCTTCTTACTTAAGAAAGCTTTAGTCAACTTATTACGGGAAACAAGGAAAAATACGGCATAAGCAATTTTATGCTAAATATTTAAAAATTTGCATCAATATGTGAAGCGCAGTGATTAAAATCGAACTTTTATCCTGAAAACTTTTCATATTTGTAAACTCAATAAAAATAATTATACAAAACATAATAAAACATAAATCTAGTAAACCATTTTTTTCAAAGCTTTTGTGTATGTTCTTAGTTCTAATTATTATCTTTAAGTCACATATATGCAATTATTATTATTGTTATGTTGCAGACTGTATATTATAAAGAAAAAATGTAAGTGGGTAGATGAAGAAACCTTTAACAGGGATCGATCTAAGAAAAGATTTGGGAATGCCTGGTGTAGAACATCGATTTTTGCAAAATCAAGCCCATACCAAAAATTTATGAGGGGAAGTTATTATTCTCTCCTGCATTTACGAGGGAAATTCTTATTTTCTGCATAAAACTGATTTCGTTAATATGTAGTTTTGGCTTGCTGTTGATGATGTATATAATCTTACAAATACAAACTTTATGTCGCTATAATTAGCATTTTATATATGCTTGCTATTATTGAACTGAGTACGGCAAAGCAAGTGGAGGTTATCCATCTATGGGAAGGGATGACTTTATGGAAGACTTTCTAAGGGAAACTGGCTTGTATTTGAATTTCATATAAGGGAAAATTATAAAAGTATTTATGCAGTCAGCCCGTTCGCTGATATTATAAACAACAATATCGAACTAGCACCGTTGACCAGACTTATACATTCTACCCACTAATGAACTATATAAACCATCTGCATATTTAACACCTGCTCCCTTAAATAATTTTAAACAGAGGATTTAAATTACTAGATGACTAATAGCGTAAAATTCATTGTACTTAACGCAGCGAAGTTGGCTTTCTCTCTATATTATAAAAAATAAATAATAATAATAAATAATAAAGTAAAATAATTAATTTTTTGATAAGTTTAACTGACTTAGCTTCTTCCCCTCTCTTGTGCAATATTTGTGTAATAATTAATAAATGTAAAATTAAATACCCTAACTTACTTTTTTTTCTTTTTTTGGAATACTTAATTCTCTTAATCATTGTGATTTTAAATATTTGGTTCAAAATGAAAGGGCTTTTGCTATTTTAGTGTCTCCACTTTCAAAGAATCGCGACGCTAAACTTGATTGCTACAGGGAAAATGGGACCGGATACGGAGGGTTATTCAAAGCTGTAAAAGGACAAAAGCTTTACAACTTAAAAGTATCACATAACCTTCGAAGTATTTTCTCGCGCCGTTTACTTAGGGATGAATTGGGACTTGTGGGGAAGGATGACTTTCATTGACCTTACTTTTTAAATCGAAAACCTAGCTTTTCTATTCAATCTTTGCTAATCACATGACAAAAAATGTAGGAAAAAGATATCCTTATTATAATGGGGCGATAGACTAAGTATGCGAATTTTTTTAATTTATTTTTATTGCATTTAAAAATGAAAATAATTTATTCTAAAATTTCATAACATCCATTTGGCGCCCCCTAAATGCTGCGCCCGGGGACAGATGTCCCCCCTTGCCCCCCCTAGCTACGCCACTGGTACTGATCTTTAAAAGCATTAACATAATAAATGACAGATCTTTTTTTTCACAGCTTTTACTTTTGCAATTATATGTGCTAGTTCTCTGTGCATTCAATCCATTATAAATCCGTATGATGCACAGTATTTACTGTCTGTTTTAAAGCAAACATAACTGATGATCAAATTATTGATATATTTGCCAGTTTACAGCCACAGAAAATGGAATTCGGGAATATTTAATTGCCGAACAAAATGAAAGGCCAGAAAAATTTTTGTTGCCTTTAAAAAAAAAAAAAAGAAATATTTGCAGTTTAATTTCGTGTCCAAAATAATGATGTATTCAGCTTTTATGCATTTAATTCAATATATTTATTATATAATTATATACAACATAAATATGGATTTTTATGTATTTATTTATCTTTATAGTTGTATTTTGAACAAAGAAAGATGAATTTCAAAATTATGTTAATATTTTAATAAGATTTTTTAAATATATTTAAAAACAAAAATATTGAATTACCATTCAGTAGTTTGTAAGGTATAATTATAAATACGATAATGAAATGCAATATATTCTTAATTATGTTACATAAGTTTTATTATTATGAAATTCATAATATAATTAATATTTATATTAAGATAACTGCCATTAACATAATATATTGTCATGAAAAAACCTATGTATTGAAGATGAACAGTATAGCCTAGGATGTAATGCACCCCCCCCCCCGGTAATTGAGCTGGCTCCAGATCGTGAACTTATTAAATATTAAAACTAAATGCTTTACCTTCAAAAATTAAAACTTAACTTAAAAACTATATAATTGTTCGTTTCGTTGTATTTAATAATAAAATAAAAAAATGTGATGATTTTTTGCAATTTTTTTTTCAAAAAAATTTGTAAGGGAAGCGATTAAATGATTATGTATGATTTCAAATGTATTGTGATGGATGTTTGAAAAATAAACATTTCTTGAAACTTGTAATTTTGTTTTGCAATTTCTTTGACATATTTGCTTACAATGTTTTGGTCTTGGGTGATTAAATGCTAAGGCTACTGTTATAAAAACTGCAGATTCCACCATTAGACCTTCTAAAACCAAAATGGTGGTAAAAGACTAAAAGATTGATGTCATATATACCGTATATTCTGGCGTATAACACGCACTTGTATTTTCAAACTATACTTTTTAGTTTTTAGGTATATTTGCTGTATAAGGTACATTTTTTCATTACAAAGAAACATGAATGATACTTGTGTTATGCTCTTATCTTACAAAATCATTCATTTGAAGATTTTTCCCAAGCATTTAAACAATGGTAATGCTGAATTGACAAGTGATAAGAGAAATAATATGTGTGTGTGCAGGGAAATGCTTGAGGAAGTAAATAATTCTGCAAAGAGGCAAGAATGCACTGCCAATCTGAATGAATTCATAGAACTAGGAATTAAATATTTCCTCTTTCTGTAGCCTTTGAAGCCTTGCTTTTGAAGTGAACTTCGAAGGCAAGGAAGGAAAGAGAGGCCAAATCCGTCATGCCAGTCTAGAAATAGTGTGAGTTGATAATAAAAGCATGGAATGAAATTAAACCTGATGTAATTCAAAAGTTATTTAAAATGTGTAGTATTTCTAATAACCTAGATGGAACAGAAGATGATTACTTATTTGCGAATCAGAGTAATAGTATTGGTAAAGATGGAACTAGCATGTCATGCAGCTGCACAACAGGTCCGGAGTTCGATCCCCGGGCTGGGCACGGTTGAGTGAACCTTGCCCAACACGGGGACTTTCATCCCTTGAGTGGGTCAATAAAATGAGTATCAAATTCACTTGGGGACTAAACAACCGGGGGTTCTGCAACAAGCTGACCAATTGCCCAGGGCATATGCTGATGCACTCCGGGAACCAAGGTCAAGAAATCAGATTTCGCTGCACTGCAGGTCGTGGCCCACTAGGGCTGTTGCGCCACTAAGTTTAGTTAGAGGATGGAACAAAATTTGGTGATGTACCTGAAGATATATAATGGAAGGCAAATATGACAAAATTTCATGTTATCCAATCATAGTTTTTTTTTAAGTTCAAAAGTTATGTCATCTTTTTTGAATAAACAACACTATGTAGAAATAAACAGCACCATGTTATGTCCATGCAGAAGTCTAATTTTTTACGCTCATCCTTTCCTTATTTTAAAATCAATCCTTTTTATATCTGGTGTATAGTGCACAGCCATCAATTTCGATCGTATATTTTGCATTAAAAGTGCACGTTATATGCTGCAATATATGGTAGCAATAATAAATGCTGAATGTTTGCAGTATTTTTTAAATAATCCGTGCAGCATTCTTTACTATCTAGTTAATATGATAGACAGTGAAAAGTACTTAAGTATGTAAATAAAAAAAGGAATTTTTATTTAGGAAAAGCAATTTAATAAATGACTATAAATTTTTTTAGGTACATTTACTTGGCTTATAAAATCAAGTTTAAATTTATAAATCTTCTGTGAATTATCAATAATTAATTTTAAAATGGTTTGAATCATCTTGTTTGCAAGGAAGTGGTGTGGTGTATTTAATTATGGCAAAGCACACTAGGGCTATCTGCCTAAGGGGAGGGATGTCTTCATGGTTCTAAGGGAAACTGGCTCATATACACGTTACACATGGGGAAAACCACGAAAACGCCCGTTCACGGGATTCGAACCTCGGACCGAACTACCAGTGTTCAGCGACTTTACTGCTCAGCCACTGGTAGGCGTGTTTGCAAGGAAGATGTGCAAAACATAATAATCTATTGTGCCAGTTTTATATTAAAAATTTTAATTATTTTAGTAGTTGATAAAAACACGATATTAATATTAAGGTAATTTGTGTTATGAAATGTCCATGTTTTCTAAAATATTAATGATATTAAAGATACTCATTCATGTGCATTCACTATAGATGTTCATTTCAAGAATTCGCACCTATATATATATATACTATAAACATTTGTGTACTTATTTCTACATGTTTTAAAAGAATGTGTGGAAAGGGCAATCATTCTTTTCCATAAAGCACTGAAATACTTTTCCATAAGCTCCTACCGATTAAGGTTTAGCCTGTATGAGTAACTAACCTTATAAATGCAAGTGCACTGTGAAATCCAAAGGAATGTCAGTCTTTAACAGTAAAAAGCATGTATCAAAGAAAGCATAAAAGTCAAAGCCCTGAAGAAATTTTATATTCACCTTTAATTATGTAATTAAATACTGCTGTAACTCCTACTAATTAAGGTCAGTATGATCAGTCAGTACAGTATAATCTATTGCTGCAAGATCATACAGACTAACTAATGTGAGTAAATTAAATTGTGATGCAGTTTATCTGATTGAATTTTATATAAATTGCTAAATGAATTTCAGGATGTGAAGATAGTGATAATTTTTATATGACTGTATTCTTTTTTAAAAATATGGTTATTATAATTTGGTCCTTAAAATGACAATTAATGTGCTTTTATCAGTCATAATTTAGGAGCATAGATATTTTTTATATCTTTGCTGACAGTTTTTATGATTTAATTAATCTCAAATGCATTTAATAATTATTAGGTAATTATGCGTAAGATTCAATTCTTCAATTGAATTTTTGGAGCATTACTTTGTTTAGTTATATTGCCTTTATGATAACATGCAAGAAAGCAATTTTTTTTAATTTAATTTTTGTTAATTCTTTATGAAATACATTCTTAAAATTTGTATATAGTCAAGTTTGTAAAAATGCAATTTATGATATCGATGTTATGGAAATTATTTAATATTTCTTCCAGTTCTTGTTACTTTATTTTAAGTGCTAAAATTACAACTTAAAGTTTGTGTTATATGACTGTGTTTTTTCTGTATCTCTAGAAATTAATCCTAGAAATTCATTCTATGACTGATGTGTCTGTGGTATTTCCAGAAATCTGTCCCATGACTGAAAAATATTTTTAAATTGTATTTTTTAGTTTTTTCCCTAAAGTCCGTATTTCCGCAAATTAATTTTTAGTAAACTCATTTGCCTTTATATTGTATTTTTGAAACCTTTTCATTTTATTCATATAAATTTCTCCTACCCTCATTGGTTGATTATTGCCATATGTGGTACATTAAAATACATAAAAAGTATGACAGTTCATTCTAATGTTGAAACCATGGATGCTGATGATCAGTACCTAAATTGCTTATTGTTATCATTTAATGTAAATACTGTTGTGATAGATTTGATATCTTGATAGTGGATAGATAGACTATAAATCCTATAGTATAGATTCTTTTTTTTTTTTTTTTTTCCCCGTGTATTTTCTTATAAAACAAAAATAAAATGTGTGTAATTTTAGCCATAGTAGATGGTTTCACCCCAACATCACTGGAGTAGAAGCTGAAAAAATGCTGACAGATCGTGGTCTGGATGGTAGTTTTTTAGCTCGGCCAAGTAAATCTAATCCTGGTGATTTCACGCTATCTGTAAGGTAAGTGTCTTCCAAAAGATTTTATTACTATCTTTTGTAATTAAATAGTTCTGTTTTATAGGAGATTTTGTTTTTAAATTTAAAGATGAATCTGAATTTATGAATCTACTACCCTTTTCTTCTTTTTGGTCTACTATCCCAGTATCCTTGCTTTATCGGTGATTCTATTATTCTATTGCCTTTTGTTACCATCTCAGCAGTGGGTGAACATTGAGTATTTAAGTCATTATTAGCATTGTCACTTGATTATGTCATTCCTTTTGCCAGTTCTTTCTTTGTTTAGTTAAAAATATACTTTTGGATTGGCCAAAAAGTATACTTTTACATACTTCAGAGTTACTTCAAGACAATGTGCATGTGTATATGTAATATATGTATTGTTGTAATATGTGTGTGGGGTTATCAATAGGAAAAAATAAGATTACACAAGATCATTTACTCATCTTTTGTTCTACACTACTTGCTACTATTCTATACTAGAGCAACAGGTTTTATGTTATAGTTATAACTAGATATATGTCAGTCGTGTTTTAACAAATTTAACTATTTTTATGGTGTTTGGTGTATTTAATTATGGCAAAAGCACACTAGGGCTATCTGCCTAAGAGGAGGGATGCCTTTCGTGGAGGACTTTCTAAGGGAAACTGGCTCGTATACACGTTACACATGGGGAAAACCACGAAAACACCCATGCAGCCAGCCCGTTCGCGGGATTCGAACCTCGGACCGAACTACCAGTGTTCAGCGACTTTACCGCTCGGCCGCTGGTGGGCGCGCTTAACTATTTTTATGTGTAGCCACTTAATGAGACTGGGTCATTTTATTTAAGCTAAAATTAAGATGGTAAACAAAACAAAAGGCAGTTTACCTTGAACAAAAATTCTACCTAAAGTGATATATTTTTGCATATGAATTAGTGATTAAGGTTATTATTAAGTGATTAAGGCTATAAATTTTTTTAATGTCCTCTCTTTTTGTTAAAAAAAACCATTTAAAATTTTTATCTGATAATGTTGTGTCTGTCAAAAGATTCTAATAAGTGCTATCTTAAGTAGCAACAGAAATTTTTAATTGTCAATGTATGCAAACAAGTGTTTCTCACATTTTTTTCCCTCACCGTAAATTATTGTATGTAAAATTATTTATTTCCTTAATGCTTCTTTATTTTGAAAACAAAATTCAGTACTTGTCTAAATAAATTATAACTGCCTATAAATTATGAGTATAATAAGAAAAGCAGAATGCCTAGAAATAAAGGAATTATTTAAAATTTACATCTTTTGTATTGGATATGCAGAAAAATATGTTTAAGTCCTCCAAATTGTTATGAATTTATATTTATTATTTATGTTATGTATTAGTTAAAAGTATGCTTTTATTTTTCAGAACTTTTTTTTTTTAATTAAATGGTAGTTTAAATGCATATGCTTCCTATGATAAGCAAAAATAATGTTATATTTAAATGTGAATTGTTCAAGCATTGACATTTTGCATTTCTCAACTTCTCTGATGTTTTCAATTTGCAGGAGAAATGGGGAAGTAACTCATATTAAAATCCAGAACACTGGTGACTACTATGATTTATATGGAGGAGAAAAGTTTGCAACATTAGCTGAGCTTGTGCAATATTACATGGAAAATCAAGGTCAATTAAAGGAGAAGAATGGTGAAGTCATTGAATTAAAATATCCTCTAGTTTGTGCTGATCCAACCACTGAAAGGCAAGTTTTTAAGCCTTTAAGATTTTAATGCTGTTAATATGATATAAATTTCATAATGGAATTAAATACTTAGATAATAATAAATACAATTCAAATGAATTTTAGCTTTAATGATATATGTAATCTATGTGTTATGTATTATTTTGAAGGGTAAACATTTTTTAAATGGGATCAGAAATTGAAGTGATAATATCATTTTAATTCATTTTAATGATACAATCACATTTATTTGAATTTATCTTTATGAAAGATTTTATATACACAATGTGTGCTTAAGTGTTAAGCAGCCTTGTTTTCACTGCCATTGGTCACAAGACACATACTTTCAATTAAAAAAAGTGTTAAATGATGCAAATAATCATATTTTGACATTTTTAAATATAAAAAAATAGTTTAAAATTTGAATCCTAATTTTTTGTACAGCACTTAGTTTATAATATTTATATTTTGGAAAATTTTATACTCATTACAAACAAATAAACACAAAAACTTTGACTTCCATTTACAAATGTTAAGATATATTTAATTTCAAGTAATGGATTTTTGATTTAATTTTCAACCTGCTAAGAAATTTGATTCCCCCCCTTTAATGCCATTAAATGATAGTCTTTTATGGTTTATTAATGTATAATATTCTTTAGTTTATAATTTTGTTATAAATATTATGGCAGAAGAATTTTCACACAAGTAATTTCTAAATGTTTAAAGGCTAAAAATGAGTTATTAATTATTCTCGCAAAGTTTTATTACTTTAGGTTCATCTTTATATATATAAGCAGCTAAAGTGTGTGTCGCTGATAGTTTATTGTTGCCACTCGAAAAAAATTAGCGCGGAAATTAGTGTTTCCGCAGTTTTTAATTAATATCTCGACCGATTAAAGTCATACGAAGATGAGAATGGATTCAGAGAATTTTTTGGAATCCGAGGATACGCGTCTCGAATTTCAAATCGGCACCGTTCCGTAGATATTTGAGAAAAAAGAATTTGGTACGTAGCCAAATCCCTGTAATAGGGAAAACCCAAGAAAGAAAGTGGAAAATGTAGGGAAAATGTAGGGCAAAATTAGTTTTTAATTAATATCTCGGCTAATTAAAGTCCCAAGAAGGCGCGAATGGTCAAAATGAACCTGCAGAATCCTTCGCTAAGCCCGGGAGCCAGCCATTTCGGAGGAGAAAAGTCCTTAATTTTGCCCAAACTCAGCAGAAGGTCTTTAATTTTAATCATCTGAAATTTTGTCTGTTTTTAAGACTGCCAGTTTGAGTGTGAATTAGCATTTTGGAGAAACATTTTGGGCGATTCACTGACATGTATGGTTATTTTTTGAATGGGTTCGTGGGCTATAATTTGTATCTCTTTCAGATGTAAATGATGGGATACTCGAGTTTCTAAGCAAGGAGTGAAACAAGCATTTCGAAATTCATTTTTTCTAATAAAGAGCTTTTAAACAACTTTTCGCTTTTGGGAATGTGAATTCCTTTATTAAACATTTCTAAATTTGGCAACTTATCAACATTTTGGTGATTTTAAGATAAGTTTCTGTAGAATTTTAATTCCGAGATCTGAAAATTTTTCAACGATTTTTTTAAAACATCATAACGTTGATAAATTTCATTAAAATAATGGTAATATATTGAAATTATATTTAAAAAATAACATTGAACTAATGCAAATATATTAAAATTCTATTTAAAAAATAACATTAAAATATTTTTTTTTCACTGTCATATTATAAAGTTTCATTTTGGCAACTTATTATTCAAATTTTTGAATCTGAAAAATAAACAAGGTATTATGCTCTAAAGCAGAATTTATGAAACAGCGCTTAGCAAAAGCAAAAATTAGCTATGTCAATAATTTAAAATGTCTTCTTTTTAATTTTTTCATAGTAAGAGTTTTTCTCATGTAACTGTCTCAGAATATGCTATATAAAATTAATTTTACACTTTTCCCTCCTCCTTTTTCTTCAAAAATATTTCTGGCTTTTTGCTGTTACAGAACTGGTAGGGATAATTTTTCTTTAGAATTTGAAAGAATTGAAGGCAAGATTTATAGACCCACGATTCTAGAAGATTCGAGAAATATGTGACAAAATGAAAAATGTCTCTATGGTATCAACACGTAATGGATATATTTTACAGGAAGTTTGCAATAAATTTTTTACTTTTTGGAGAATGTCTGGAAGAAACAATGAAAACATAATATTGGAATGTTTTACTTCTGATACTAGAATATTTTTCTTAACATTTTTATCTCCCCTTTATATTCTCTTCTTTCCACTAGACACAAGCATGGAAAATATCAAAAATGTTTCTAATCTTATCACATGGGCAGGCATTATAGAAAGAGATTTTTTTTATTAATAAAGAAATTGAAAACTTACAATTTAAAAGATTCATCTAATATGTCTTAATGCATCATACACATAGCTGGCACTAGTCATTTTCCCGCCTGATGCAATCTCTGTGGATTCTGAATTTTGTTGCCTAGTGCCTTTCTAATTCTGCTTCCAATGCCTGCTCTAAATTCTGAAAGTTTTGCCATTTCTAGATTTTGTTGTACGGTCTGTCACTAAATTCTAAAACTTCTGCCACATCAGCTGTGTAACTGGCCTTTATCATATATATTTCATATTGCTTCTGAATGTTCATATTATTAAGGAAAAGAAATTAGCTGCTTTTTCTGTACATTCTAAATGCATTTAGTGTTTTTTAATAACAGAATCCTTAATTAAATCCAGAAATTCCAAAATGAAAAGGAAACGTGTTGAAGAAAGAAACTGAATACATAAAGAAAATTATTCTTCAAAGATATGTGCAGTTATTATGTAAATTACCTGATTGTTTATGATTTCAGCCTTTACTATAATTTCCCATTTCTATTTCCTCATTTGATAGAGTTACTGAGCCAGATTAAATTTAAATTAAATTGTATAATCTTTGACCACTACTCCACATTTTTAGTTTGAATTTGACTGTTCTTGTTTAATTACGTCACCGTGAGCTGTAATTGATTTTGTTAGCATCAGAACATGCCTTTATGTTATAAGTTCTTTTTAAATAAGCCTTTTATTTAAACCTTTGTTGATTATTGTAGTTAATTTCAGACATAGCGATAATATGCTTCACATCTGTCTGGGTTTTTGGACTTTTTAACTTTTACCAGATCAAGTAAAACCCTCATAGGTACATTGCGGAGAGGTTGACAAGTTAGGATGTAAAGTACACAGAAAGTAGTGAGAGCATTGATTTGTATATTGAGACAAATCTCTAATTATTGTTAGAAAAGATGCTTAAAGAGAAGGAAATTAATATAAACTAGCCAAAATGTTTGAGAAGGCTTCAAATTACAATGACAAATAAATATTTTGTTGTGTTGTTGTTACAAAACATAAATGTTTTGTAGCTTTTAATGTGTAATTATTCTAATATCCTTTAAGAATCAGTGGATAAATTACGTGTATTTTAAACTGTGAAACTTTGTTACATTTTAATAGGGCTTTTTTAACAAATATTTTTAAAAAATAAAATTTAATAGTGGCCATGTAAATCCATAATCACTAAGGTTATCTATTTATCTAATTTAATTATTTATAACTAACTGCTTACCAAAATTATCTCTACATATTAAAGCGAGTTATTGCCTTTCATTAATACTCACTGTGGTCACAAGATAAAATACAAAAATGTGAAAATTCAAGTAAAACATACAAAACAACTTATCACCTCTGGTGTTATAATGGCTTATCTTAAAGTATATTAACTGGGGTACAACCCCTGGAACTCTACACAAACCTACGACGCTAACTACATCAAACAGAGCCTGATTAACTTTCAACACTTGCTAACCGTGCCTACATCAGGCCTTTCAGGTTTGTTCTAATTAGCAGGTCTCTCTAAACAAACAGGAGCGGTGACAACAGTCAGTCTTTTGTTATGAATCGTGCTGATTATGATCTTACTTCTCATTTTAACCTATGCCGTTTGACATAAAATCTACCTGCTATTTATTAAACCTCAAGACTGACCAAGTATGTGACAAAATGAGACATAAAAAAAAAAATTCAACATAAAGCTAACTAACTGTTAGTAAAACGTAAATGTCACTTATCTTCTTTAAAAGTCCTTAAATTTTTTGGAATTGATTTTTGGTCCTTAAAAGTCCTTAATTTTGGCCAAAATCAGCAGAAGGTCCTTAATTTTAATCATCTGAAATTTCTGTCTGTTTTTATGACTGCCATTTTGAGTGTGAATTAGCATTTTGGAGGAATATTTTTGGTGATTCACTGACATATATAGTTATCTTTTGAATGGGTTCATAGGTTATAATTTTTTTCTATTTCTAATAAAAATGATGGGATACTCGAGTTTCTAAGCAAGAAGTGAAACATAAGCATTTTGAAATTCCTTTTTCCTAATAAAGAACTCTTAAACAACTTTTCGCTTTTGGGGATGTGAATTCTTCTATTAAACAGCTCTAAATTTTGCGACTTGTCAACATTTTGGCGATTTTAGGATCAGTTTCTATAGAAAATTTTTAATTCCGAGATCTGACAATTTTTTGACCAGTTTTTTTAAAGCATCATAACATTGATAAATTTCATTAAAATAATGGTAATATATTGAAATTATATATAAAAATAACATTAAAATAAAACATTCTATTTTTTTGCTGTCATGTTATAAAGTTTCATTTTGGCAACTTATACAATATTATGAATCTGATAAATAAGGCATATTGTTATAAAGCATAATTTACGAAACAGCTCTTAGAGCAAAATTAGCTATGTAATTAATTAAAAATGTCTTGTTTTTAATTTTTTCATAGTAAGCGTTTTTCCCATGCAATTGTCTCGGAATAGTCAAAATTCTCAGAATATGCATCAGTTTTCTCTATAAAATTAATTTTATGCTTTTTCCCTCCCTTTTTTATTTAAAAATATTTCTGACCTTTTGCTGTTACAGAATTTGTAGAAGGGATAATTTTTCTTTAGTATTTTAGA